TTTATGTGGGCCTTTGTATTTGTGTCCAACGTTTACTTTAGTTTATGTGGGCCTCTGTATTTGTGTCCAACGTTTACTTTATGTGGGCCTCTGTATTTGTGTCCAACGTTTACTTTAGTTTATGTGGGCCTCTGTATTTGTGTCCAACGTTTACTTTAGTTTCGGTGGGCCTCTGTATTTGTGTCCAACGTTTACTTTAGTGTCTGTGGGCCTCTGTATTTGTGTCCAACGTTTACTTCATTTGCGAAGCAAATGTACATGACTATAGTATTGAATAAAAACTGTAATGGTGGAAAAGAGGATCATTTGAAGGGATGCTAGGATGTTACTATTGAGTACAGAAAATTTAATGATCATGAAATTGAAGTCTTCTCATCAGAATTACTAGTAAAGGGTCGTGTTGTGTTCCCATAGGAATACCCTTGGATTCTGAGTTCGTCTGACGACCAGACCATCAGGATATGGAACTGGCAGTCTCGCAGCTGTGTCTGGTATGTATATGTGGGCAAATTGTCCATGTTAAAGCTCTATGATCCTAGGAAGTCGTAAGTTTTACCCACGTGTTAGTGTGTCTGATAGAAAATTCCAATTAACACTGTACTGGCTTTCAGAGGTTAAATAGCTTATACTAAAAGATATCTGAATACAAAAAATGGTTTTTCGAGAGATGTAGCATTAGTGAATTGTATTACTAACTCGTGCATTCGTTTAATCAGTATAAAGGCATAAATATGATATGTTTTCATGCCAATAGCAGTCACATCTCCAAGCATGAGTAAGGTGACTGATAAGGCTCATGGGCCTGTTAGTTTTAACTATAATTAATACTGGTATTTATTCTGTATTTCAGCATACTTGCAGGTCACAGTCACTTTGTGATGTGTGCAATGTTTCATGTGTCAGAAGACCTGATTGTGTCCGCATCCCTCGACCAGACTGTCCGTGTGTGGGACATCTCCGGTAAAAAATTGCTATAAATGTGTCTTCATTTGATAATGTAGTTTTTTTGACATTCAATACATATGATAAAGAATCTCTGTGTAATGTCATTTTAACCTGATATAAAGAACAGAAAAATCCTAGCTGAAACATTGCTATACAACAATTTTGTTTTTGGGAATAAAATCCTATAACTGTTGTGTTTCTGTATAGGACTGAGGAAAAAGAATGTGGCCCCAGGTCCTGGCGGTATACATGAGCGTTCTAGAAGTCCAGGACAGACCGACCTGTTTGGTGTGTCTGATGCAGTTGTCAAACACGTGCTGGAAGGACATGACCGTGGTGTTAACTGGGCAGCCTTCCACTCCACACTGCCCCTCATTGTGTCCGCAGCTGATGACCGACAGGTCAAACTCTGGAGGATGAATGGTAACCCACTTCATGGCATAGTCTTAAATTTATATCTAACAAAATAAATAAAAGTTAATTTCAAGTGATTTTACTTTGATTACTTACCGTCACTTAGATTTCCATAATTCCTATATTGTAGGTCAACAAGTTTTATGAATTTGAAATAAGCACTTCTGCATTACATATATGTTCACACTCACAGGTATACTGTATTAGTACCAAAAGTACAATTTCAGATAGCTATAGGTGAAAAAGGCAGAATAGTATAGTTTTATGTCTTTGTAAGTACACATATTGTTGCTTGAAGGTAACAGGGGAGATAAGTCATGAAATTTTCTTTTCAGAGTCCAAAGCTTGGGAAGTAGACACATGTCGTGGCCATTACAACAATGTATCGAGCTGTCTGTTTCATCCCCGCCAGGAACTTATCCTGAGTAACTCTGAGGATAAGAGTATCCGTGTCTGGGACATGAGTAAGAGGTAGGAAAATACATGTTGTATTTACATGTTACTTACAATATGTAACTCGGTACTTACATGTTACTTACCATATGTAACTCGGTACTTACATGTTACTTACCATATGTAACTCGGTACTTACATGTTACTTACCATATGTAGCCTTGTACTTACCATGTTCTTCACTGTTGTTTACCAGGACTGGGGTACAGACATTCCGACGGGAACACGACCGTTTCTGGATTATGGCTGCCCATCCAAACCTCAACATCTTCGCTGCTGGCCATGACAGTGGCATGCTTATCTTCAAACTAGAACGTGAACGTCCAGCATATGCTGTTCACAACAACATCCTGTACTACGTCAAGGAGCGGTATCTGCGACGCCTAGACTTCACCACCAACAAGGACAACCCAGTAATGCAGCTCCGTGGGTGAGTACTACATGTTAGGATAGGTTTCGCTGTCACTTTCTTATAAGTAACAACAGGTCAGATTTCAGAGTCATAAACAGTTTTCACTGCTTACACGGTAGTAAGATAATTAATACTGGAATTGAAAATGAAAAATATTGAAATTCAGAAATTCATGCACAAAATAGTATACAGTGGAATATAGGTATATACCTCAAACCTCTTTCTGTAAGCTTTATTTGTATGTAAAAGTAGAGAGAATTGTCCTGAGGTACAGAATGACTTGAAGCCTGGTTTGAACTTTGGTTTAAGCATGTTTAGTGCTTTCTCTTGTCGTTTTTGTCATTGGAAGCTTTGACAAGATTTATCATTTTAAGTTGTGCAATGTTGTTGCTGACGTTTGTATAACAGTCATGCTTTCCTGTACTAAATACATGCACTTGCTTTAAAAATTATCATCAAGTCATATCTTACAAAACTTAAAAGGAATGTATAATTTTCTTCTTGTTTGTTCCAAGTTGTTTTAAACTTTTGGCCCAGTTTTGTCTTTCTGAGTCTGCAGCAATTTAAATATTTTTATGTCCAGTGAAAAGGCAAAAATAAGTATTCGCAAAAATTAGGGGGTTATTTATCACTAATGAGCTAAAATACTTCATGTTTAGCACTGCCTGTGGGTTGTATTGTATACTTGATGTAAAAATTTGAGTTACTTTCAGAGGTCAAAATTCAAGAGTTGAAGTTTAAATTCAACTGTATTTTAATGCATATTGAAACCAAATCTTCTGTGACATGGCAAAATAAAAAAATCAGGGTTTTCTTATTGATATTCTATAAAAACAGTAGATGTTTGAAGAATTCAGGAAGGGCATGTAATGTTTTGATGCTCAATGTCATTTGGTTAATATTTTTGGGAAGAAAAAATCCAACAATGTAGGTAACCTGCAAGCCAGGTGATCATTATTGGACTCAGTCTCTTTAAAGATTTGTTATTGACGGTCTCTTAAAAGATTTGTTATTGACGGTCTCTTAAAAGATTTGTTATTGACTCGCTCTTAAAAGATTTGTTATTGAATGTCTCTTAAAAGATTTGTTATTGACTCGCTCTTAAAAGATTTGTTATTGACGGTCTTTTAAAAGATTTGTTATTGACTCGCTCTTAAAAGATTTGTTATTGACTCGCTCTTAAAAGATTTGTTATTGACTCGCTCTTAAAAGATTTGTTATTGACTCTCTCTTAAAAGATTTGTTATTGACTCACTCTTAGTGTTTCCTGCTCATCATCGGTAGGAGAGCATTGTAGTATTTGTTGTGTTCAATGTGGTAGACTGATGTTGTTGTCTTTATCCTCAGTGCTGGCAGGGGTACCAAGTGAGTAGTGTTGTAGGCTTTCTAAAAGTGCTCAAACCAAACAAGTAGGAAAGTGCTTTAGTTTACTACTGCATTAACACATTATCAAGAGGCATTCCATATCTCTACAGATTGGGTTTTAAGGCTGTGTCTTGTCGGAAACTTTCCACATACATTTTATAAATGGAATAATTATACCGATATAAACTTGTAATCTGACTTGTAAGTTGGAACATGTCATGTAGTCAAGTGAATTAGTAATTATTTTATTAAGGTATATGTATATATTTACTCCTAACAATTTGATAAAACTTCCCCAATTGCGAATATCAAAAGTTTTACTTTCTACACAAACTGTGTATGTATTAATACCGGCACAATGTTTCAAGACTTACTGGTCCCTTTGTCCAGCTATGACACATGATTTATTTGTATTGTTTACCTGTACAATGATGTGACGAAATTGTATATTTCATATGTCACTTGGCTCGGGACATTTCCCCTATCAATAGAGAGTGTATACACGCATGTTTAAAAGAAAAGTACCAAAAGATAGCTGACCATACACAGGTGACCAATCAGAATTTTGAAGCCTACGATTATGGTCAGTTTTAATTAATCAATTGATGCCTGTCTACTACCTAAGTTGTGAGAGTTGGAATGTCTAGTAGTTAAACCTGTGTGTCATGTTACTGCGAGCCATCTTTTTTTTCCTCATGTTTTTATTTGCTATCACATGTCAGAGCCTTTTCACATGTCGGAGCCTTTTGCTAAACAAGTTTTGTTGGTTATCACACTTCAGAAAATTTGATAATTTTTGCTTGTACTTTTAAAATTTGATAATTGTTTCTTGTACTTACCCCTTTGTTGTCATGTTTTAGATGATTTATCAATGTTTGGTGTGAGTGAACCCACCCAAACTTTGAAGAAGACTTGTGATAAGCTTGAATTCCTTCACATAGCAACCCACTATCAACATTTCCCACATAAACAGGCTTAATATTTTTCTTCTTATGACTACCTGGTACATTTTCCTTCTAAGATGAAGAGATAACATTAATTTACAAAGGAGAAGAAGAATTGATATAAGACTTTTAAAACTCAGATAAGAGGCCACATATAGAGGTTGAAGGTTCAGTTGAGAACATAGATATATATATAAAGTTTTTAGTTCCTTGTAATCCTAACTGTTGCTTTGTAATTTAGATCAGTATTTACCATTGTCATCCTGATCTAAACTAATCATTGTTACCTTCATCGTCAGTGCCTTTTCAATTCTCTGACACAGCTAGTGGTTGATTAACCCGTGCACACTGATGTTGTTTTCATTGTACATTAAAATGCACATCGGATGTAGAGAAACATTGATGAAGAGAACTAGTTCTGCATGAATTTTCTATTGATTACCTCCCTTGCATTTTCAGAATGTCTTATTACCTGTATGTGCATCAAGTGACACTAACTTGTAACCAAGGAGTCGTCTTTAGTAACACACTAAGCTTGTTTTTAGTTGTCCCACTGACTCCCACTGCTTCAAAACCTTGTTGATTGCAGTTTTGTTGTATATATATATATAGTTCACCTTGTGATGTTACAGCGTATATCGTCTGTCCACCATATATAGCTTTCCTTTCTCTTCCAACATAACCTTCAGTTCCCTTCTCACTACTCCTTTTTTCTCTTCCAACATAGCCTGCCTGTCTATTCTAATATATCAGTTCTCCTGGATTTGTCCTGTAGTTTGACCATGCCTCTTGCAACTAATTGCTTCCAAGAACATGTTCCTGAAGACTTGGAGAGATTTTAACTTCATAAAATGTCTGTCAGACCTAACTCAACAATATCAGTTTTCTATAGTCATAAGCTTTCTATGATGGTGTTGCAACCTTTGAAAAGTATATTGTATGTACCAAAGTGTTGGTCTTTTCTGTGTGTCTGAACACTTTCTACAGAAGGAATATCAAGTGTTGAGGAATCAGGAGCTGAAGTTAAAAGTTTGAAGAAATGATTTCTCACTAAGCAATATAGAGAATATCATCAAACAATGATTAACATTGATATACATACTGAGGACGCACCTATATCATTCTTAGGCGCAAGGTCCAAAACCAAGGTTGTTAGGCTACCTGGTTGTGAGGTGAATACCATGATATATTCATTAATGACTTGAGTATTGTTGATGTGACCTGTAAACTAATGATTTCTGTCTACAGTGGTACCAGGTGTCCTGTGTACAGTATGTCGTATAACCCAGCCGAGAACAGCGTCCTCCTCTGTACGGTAAGTACCTGTTAGTAATCTCTGTACGGTAAGTACCAGTTAGTACTCTCTGTATGGTAAGTACCAGTTAGTACTCGCTGTACGGTAAGTACCAGTTAGTACCCTCTGTACGGTAAGTACCAGTTAGTCCCCTCTGTACGGTAAGTGCCAGTTAGTACTCTCTGTATGGTAAGTACCAGTTAGTGCACTCTGTACGGTAAGTACCAGTTAGTACTCTCTGTACGGTAAGTACCTGTTAGTACTCCCTGTATGGTAAGTACCAGTTAGTACTCTCTGTACGGTAAGTACCAGTTAGTACACTCTGTATGGTAAGTACCAGTTAGTACAGATCTCCCAATTTGCAGCAGATTAATAAAGTAGAAATATTGCAGGCAAAAATAAGTCAATACAGTCACAATTAAAAACAAACATATTTAGAAAGCCAAAGTAACTATGAGTATGCTAATACAAATAATACAATCTTCAGTTTAAACACATTCTTTTTTTCAGAGGACCAGTAACCTTGACAACTCGACCTATGACCTCTATGGTATCCCCAAGGACAGTGACTCCTCCAGTCCAGATGGTATTATTAAAATATTAGAACTGAACTCTTAGTGTGTTTTGTATGCCCAATATATTTTCATTTAACAAGTCTTGAAGAAGAAAATGAATGAACATCAAAATTGATGTCCGCATTAAAAACAGTGTGCAACTTGATGGTGAAAGTCTGATGTCCCTCCATAAGGAAGAATTTGATGCACAAATATATCCGTAGACAGTTAACACCATATTCAGCTCAAAATCATACCTGCTTTAAGGTACACACCTGTTTTATCATCAAATACAGGTATCTTTAACCTGTTGTTCTGACGTACATTTCAGCCCCAGAAGGAAAACGGTCTTCTGGTCTGACCGCTGTATGGGTGGCAAGAAACAGATTCGCTGTGTTGGACAGGACACACAATGTAAGTGGTTTTAGTTTATATTGGGAGGGTGTATACAGGACACATAATGTAAGTGGTTTTAGTTTACATTGGGAGGGTGTATACAGGACACACAATGTAAGACGTTTTAGTTTGTATTGGGAGGGTGTATACAGGACACACAATGTAAGACATTTTAGTTTGTATTGGGAGGGTGTATACAGTACACATAATGTAAGTGGTTTTAGTTTGTATTGGGAGGGTGTATACAGGACACACAATGTAAGTGTTTTTAGTTTATATTGGGAGGGTGTATACAGGACACATAATGTAAGTGGTTTTAGTTTACATTGGGAGGGTGTATACAGGACACACAATGTAAGACGTTTTAGTTTGTATTGGGAGGGTGTATACAGGACACACAATGTAAGACATTTTAGTTTGTATTGGGAGGGTGTATACAGTACACATAATGTAAGTGGTTTTAGTTTGTATTGGGAGGGTGTATACAGGACACACAATGTAAGTGTTTTTAGTTTATATTGGGAGGGTGTATACAGGACACATAATGTAAGTGGTTTTAGTTTACATTGGGAGGGTGTATACAGGACACACAATGTAAGACGTTTTAGTTTGTATTGGGAGGGTGTATACAGGACACACAATGTAAGACATTTTAGTTTGTATTGGGAGGGTGTATACAGGACTCATAATGTAAGTTGTTTTAGTTTATAATGCTTGAGGTTGGCTTAGTCTATGCTGAAGGGTTACAGTTGTCTCCACATCAGTATATAAGTCTAGCGGGTCATTATAGATATTACCTGGTACAACATTGAAATCTGTATACTCTTCTCAAGGGACTTTTACCTGTGTGACACTTTTATCAAACCTCATAAATCTTCTTCTGTGAAATCACACAATAAAAGTCACCACATTATTGTTTTGAGAAACCAATATGTCAAACCTTGTGGTGAAACAGCTAGATGTATGGAATAGATACAGAGGCTGATGCCTACCTGATGTATGGTATAGATACAGAGGCTGATGCCTACCTGATGTATGTAATAGATACAGAGGCTGATGCCTACCTGATGTATCGAATAGATACAGAGGCTGATGCCTACCTGATGTATGTAATAGATACAGAGGCTGATGCCTACCTGATGTATGGTATAGATACAGAGGCTGATGCCTACCTGATGTATCGAATAGATACAGAGGCTGATGCCTACCTGATGTATCGAATAGATACAGAGGCTGATGCCTACCTGATGTATGGAATAGATACAGAGGCTGATGCCTACCTGATGTAATGGCCTAGAAACTTGTTAACAGTTATCATCTACACAGAAAACCTTGTTGCTGTTCCAAACGTCGACTTTATGATACTGATTTAATGTTAAAGTAGATGGATTAAGTTTTATTATGTTTCGTTCACTTAATAGGTTTCATTTTATCTATGCTGTCAGTTTTTGAGAACAATCTATGAAAAGTTTCTTATCATTCATTGCTTAAATTTCAGATTGTAATTAAAAATCTGAAGAATGAAATCACCAAAAAGCTACAGGCCCCCAACTGTGACGACATCTTCTACGCTGGGACAGGGTGTCTCCTTTTGAAGGACTCTGATGGTGTCACACTTTTTGATGTACAACAAAAAAGGTAATTATTTACCTAGTGATGTAGGTATAGTTGTATGTCTGTATTACATATCTCTCTTTTTTGTTTGAAGAAATCTTCTTCATTTTTTATCTTTATTACAGATCTCTTTGTTTGTTGATACCTCTGTGTCTGTTGATACTTAAATCTTTTGTCTGTACAAGTTTGTTTGTCTTGTTTTACAGAGCACTTGCCACCGTGAAGATTTCCAAAGTAAAGTATGTGGTTTGGTCCGCCGACATGTCACATGTGGCCCTCCTCAGCAAACACAGTAAGTCATTTGTTATTGTTGACAATGCACGATCACATACATTAAATAAGTAACACATATTGATAAACACTTGATGACAAGACCGAGCCCCTAAACAAAACTGTTGTAGTGATACATACACAATATACTCTATATATCATATTACCAAATTTCTAAGTTTTGAGATTCAAGATGGCCAATATGACCTTTAATCAGCTGAAACAGATTTGGTTATAACTCGGTTCTATTGGGCCTACTTTCTACTTTCTTCATACTTTGTGGGTGGCATAATCTAGGTTGAATGACTGACGTTTGACTTTCGGAATTTAAGATGGCTGACTTGGTCTCTGATTGGCAAATACACCTTTAAAAGATGTATTATGAGGATTAAATGACGTTTGTATCGGTCCCTGTTAAGTTTGCAGAGATAGTTTTGGGGACGTTTGTATCGGTCCCTGTTAAGTTTACAGAGATAGTTTTGGGGACGTTTGTATCAGTCCCTGTTAAGTTTGCAGAGATAGTTTTAGGAACGTTTGTATCAGTCCCTGTTAAGTTTGAACTTGTTGAATCTGGTCAATTACTGATAAAATCTTAAAAAGAGACTTTTAAATAAAATTTTCACCAATTGTAATCCTTTAATATTGTTGTACTTAACAATTTGTTTTTGGACTTGACCATTTCACAGAGCAACAGGGTTATTAGCCTTTGGCTTTAAGTTTTTCTGCTTAACTTTTTTTTCTGATTTTATAGTAATGTTTAGACGAACTGTTAATATTGTGTTAAACAATTTATACTTTATATGAACTATCTTTGTGTCGTCCACAGTAATCTCCATCTGTAACAGGAAGCTGGAAAACCTGTGTACCATCCACGAGAACATCCGTGTGAAGAGTGGAGCGTGGGACGAGAGTGGTGTGTTTGTGTACACCACCAGTAACCACATCAAATACGCACTCACTAACGGGTAGGTGTCCATACACATACTCTCAAAGGCAAATACGAAAAACATCATACATAGGCTTCAATGCACTCCGCTAGGGATTGAGCTGTAACGGGCTGCAGCCATAGTGTTAGAGGGCCAATGAACTTTACACATTTTTGTTTCATGTAGCTTATGGCAATTATACCTCCATTGCTGTTACAGTTCAGTCCTTAATTTTACATCTTTCTGGTTGCTTACATATAGAAACTATTACTTGAAGCAGATCCCATTGTATTTGTATAGGGCTGTCTTAGCTCTAAATGTTTAAGTGGTTCCAAGGCGTTTGTTGTGAACCCCTTTGAAAGCTTGGTATTTGATTACTTAGGTCTATAATTGAATTAGCATTGGCCAAATATATGCCAGGTAAGGAGTTGGGAGATCACAACATTTTACAAATACATTTCCTCATGGTGATATTCTATTGATATCAAAAATAATTTCTCTTTATTTTTGACACCAGTGTTAGTGCGTGCCTCATTATATTTTTTTCTGTGCCCTCAGTGACCATGGTATTATCCGTACCCTTGACCTGCCAATCTACATAACACGTGTCAAGGGCAACAGTGTGTACTGTCTAAACAGAGAGTGTGTCCCCGGACGCCTTGTCATCGACCCCACAGAATTCAAGTTCAAACTCGCCCTCATCAATCGAAAATACGAAGAGGTAAATAATTCGAGACTTCTTCATTTTCAGAATTAGTGGATTTATCGTGATATAATAATCTATATGAACATATCTTTTTCATAATGCAATAGATGCCATGATCAATGTATCTGCTGTTGATGTATTGTATAGATACACCGTTGATGTATTGTAGGTATTACACATGGTGAGGAATGCTAAACTGGTTGGCCAGTCAATCATCTCCTACCTACAGAAGAAAGGCTACCCAGAAGTAGCCCTCCACTTTGTCAAGGATGAGAAGACACGCTTCGGTCTGGCATTGGAGTGTGGTAATATCGAAGTATGTATTGCTATTAGACATTAAACCATTTATACATTTAAAATGATAACAATGAACTAACATTGGACATATCTCCCTTGACAATAGTCTACACAAAAATGGTTTGACTTGCCCGCTAGACAATAGTCTACACAAAAATTGTTTGACTTGCCTGCTAGACAATAGTCTACACAAAAATGGTTTGACTTGCCTGCTAGACAATAGTCTACACAAAAATGGTTTGACTTGCCCACTAGACAATAGTCTACACAAAAATATGAACTTTATTTAGAAAACATGTATGTATTGGTTATTAATTTGCTTGCCAGATTGCATTGGAGGCAGCACGCTCCCTGGACGACCAGGCATGCTGGGAGAGACTTGGTGAGGCGGCCCTACTCCAGGGAAACCATCAGGTAGTGGAGATGGCCTACCAGAGGACAAAGAACTTTGACAAACTCTCCTTCCTTTATCTCATCACAGGGAACCTGGAGAAACTCAGGAAAATGATGAAAATTGGTATGTTGAGCAAATGACGTACTCTTTGCTTATAATAAAACTTTATTTTTTTTAATTTATAAAATTTTCATTAATAAGTTTGATGGTCATTTGAGCAGGAAACTTGTATTATATGTTGAAGTACTGTGTATAAAGTGATTTAATTCAATTTTATAAATATCTGCATCAAATATAAAAAAAAAACATTTTGGCAAGTCCTGAATAACTTGTATTGACAGTTGGGAGGTACAATCCTTAAAATTCTTAAGGGCTCACAGGTCATTTAGATCATTATAGATGAGCAGGTATCGTCAAGGTATCGCATCTCCAAAAAGGGTAGTATCTGGTTCTCAGCATTCAATCTGAAATGGATGGCTACTCAATAACATTTATAGGAGACATAAGTCATTAACATATTTTAGGGTGTATGGGGTATCGCATGGCATGAACAATATTGCTTTGTATACATGATGATTTCCAGGTCATGTCGTAACAACAACAAAAATAAACTGTTATTATATAATTAACCTGTTACTAAAGTTTTTTAAGTGCACAGCATCTAGCTTTTAAAAAGTGATATTGTTATCAACTTTCATGCTGTCAGAATTACCACAAGATATATGTTGATACATGTATTCAGGGGCGGGTCCAGGTGAGGGCGTAATGGGCGTACGCCCCCTTTTCAAAAAGAAAACAAAAAAACTATCGTAATCTGCTAATATTGTATTGAATATGGCAATTTATCATATTCATTAATTAAACACATAAACACCCTGACACTTTAACTATAAAATATACATGCTCCAAGTCAGGAACCGTTACATTAGTGCATTTCACAATTATTTTATGTTTTTTAGCAAAAAAAAGGTCCAAAATATATTCTACTCCCCCTCTTTCATATATCCTAGAAACGCCCCTGGTATTTCTGACATTTGGGCAAAATTACTGACACAAGCTCCACCTATAGGCCAAATGAGATAAAGATTTATTTGAGATAAATGCTGTTAAAACATGAGGAGCAATGTTGCAAAGTTCTTTAGGCTTAACTCTGTACACCGCTACAACAGGTCCCTGGGATTGCTGGCAAATACAACTTTTAAAAAGGCAAAATCATTACTTATTGATTATTTCCTATTCTTGCTTTTGTCTTGTAGCCGAGATCAGGAAGGACACAAGTGGACATTTCCAGAATGCACTATTCCTTGGGGATGTCTCTGAGCGAGTTAGGATTCTGAAGAACTGTGGACAGAGTGAGTTGACAGAAATTCACTATATAATAGCATTTCCACACCCACCAAAATCTGGCACGTCCTTAAATGACCATAGCTGTTAATAGGATGTAAAACACAAATAAACCAAACCAAACCAAACCAAAAATCACCCACAAGAAAGGTGTCCAAATATATATAAACATACCAGGAAAATGTCGGTCCTCATAGTCAAATCCAATAGATCACATGGTATTGGGGGAACTGGCCCTACGTTGTCTATCATATAGAGAAGCATTGACTTAAATTGTTATATCTTTAATTTCCACACATAAACAAGAATCAATCCAGAAACTTGGAATTATCTCCCCTTAGACCATGCTTGTAATCTGTAAGATATCTCCATTAGAAAGTCTGTGTTTAGAACAGATTTAACTGAATGACTATTATGTTGTAGAATCACTGGCCTACCTGACTGCTGCGACTCATGGTATAGAGGATGAGGCTGAACAGTTACAGGCTAGCTTTGGGGAGAAGGATCGCACTCCTGACCTGTATCCTACTGCCAAACTTCTTCATCCTCCTGTACCCATCATGCAACAGGAGAGCAACTGGCCCCTCCTCACTGTTACCAAGGGCTTCTTTGAAGGAGCCATGGCTGCTGGCAGTGGTAAGTGTTTACTTGTTTGTATGTCAACCCTCCTGCCAAAGTTCTTACTAAGCCAGCCGACTACTTATGCCATGGATGCTATTAGAAGTTAGTGTTTTACTTGTTTGTATGTCAACCCTCCTACCAAAGTTCTTACTAAGCCAGCCAACTACTTATGCCATGGATGCTATTAGAAGTTAGTGTTTTACTTGTTTGTTTGTCAACCCTCCTACCAAAGTTCTTACTAAGCCAGCCGACTACCTATGTCATGGCTGCTATTAGAAGTTAGTGTTTTACTTGTTTGTATGTCAACCCTCCTGCCAAAGTTCTTACTAAGCCAGCCGACTACTTATTCCTGGTTGCTATTAGCAGTAAGTGTTTTACTTGATGGTATGTCAACCCTCCTACCAAAGTTCTAACTAAGCCAGCCGACTACTTATGTCATGGCTGCTGTTAGCAATAAGTATTTTACTTGTTTGTATGTCAACCCTCCTACCAAAGTTCTTACTAAGCCAGCCGACTACTTATGTCATGGCTGCTATTAGCTGGAAGTGTTTTACTTGTTTGTATGTCAACCCTCCTGCCAAAGTTCTTACTAAGCCAGCCGACTTCTTAAGTCAAGGCTGCTGTTAGCAGTAAGTGTTTTACTTGATGGTATGTCAACCCTCCTACCAAAGTTCTTACTAAGCCAGCCGACTACTTATGTCCTGGTTGCTATTAGCTGGAAGTGTTTTACTTGTTTGTATGTCAACCCTCCTACCAAAGTTCTGACTAAGCCAGCCGACTACTTATGTCAAGGCTGCTGTTAGCTGTAAGTGTTTTAATTGATGGTATGTCAACCCTCCTACCAAAGTTCTAACTAAGCCAGCCGAATACTTATGTCAAGGCTGCTGTTAGCAGTAAGTGTTTTAATTGATGGTATGTCAACACTCCTACCAAAGTTCTTACTAAGCCAGCCGACTACTTATGCCAAGGTTGCTATTAGCAGTAAGTGTTTTACTTGATGGTATGTCAACCCTCCTACCAAAGTTCTGACTGAGCCAGCCGACTACTTATGTCATGGCTGCTGGCAGTGGTAAGTGTTTTACTTGTTTGTATGTCAACCCTCCTACCAAAGTTCTTACTAAGCCAGCCAACTACTTATGTCATGGCTGCTGTTAGCAATAAGTGTTTTACTTGTTTGTATGTCAACCCTCCTGCCAAAGTTCCGACTGAGCCAGCCGACTACTTACATTACACACTTTATCCTACAGGAAAAGCCAAGGGTCTGGCCAAGGCAGCAGTAGACATAGAAGATGGTGTTGAAGATGGCTGGGGAGCAGACGTGGACAACATTGACCTTGGGGACGGTACATATACCTTTTATCTATACTTGTCAATTCTTATGATTAGTTTGTCAGTTTCAGTTGATCTCCGGTCTTTTTCTCCGTAGTGCTTACAATCTCATTATATGGGTATGAATAGATCGTGCTTAAATAAAAAAAATAAAAAAATCATAAAAAAGTTTACTGTCATTATCATTCCAACAGAGTTTCTAGCAGTATGAGAGTGCATACAATTTAATAACTAGGAGTTGATTAATTCGACCATACCAGTCAATATACCACTTTGATATGACAGAATCATTGGAGTTTTGGTGGGGATCAGGAGAGCATGATAATGTTGATTGTCCGAGGTGGTGAGAACAATAGTTACGCTGTATCATTAAAATCATTAAATTTCTGTACTTGAATTGATTGTGTTTAGACGGGTTTGGAGGTGAGGGTATTGATGAGGAGGACATGGAGGCAGGAGAAGAGGGTGGTGGCTGGGATGTGGATGATGTTGATCTGCCCACTGACCTCGACATTGGTTCCATCCCATCAGCTGGAGAGGACGGCTACTTTGTACCACCCACCAAAGGACAGAGTCAGTCACAGGTGAATACAGCATGGCTTCAATTTGTAGCAAGCGACCCATGAAAGATATTTAATCCAGATTATTGGTACTTATAAATCTTGAGAGTCGCAAATTCAACACTGCAGTTTTATTGATGTGAACCCAAGAATAAGACTAAATTTGAGCTGTGTTCATCTTTTTGTATATTGATTGTTTTGCTTTTGCATTGTAGGTGTGGTGTAATAACTCCCAACTACCTGTGGACCATGTTCTGGCTGGATCCTTCGAGACAGCAATGCGGGTAATTGTCATTATTGTCATGTGGCACATTCAAATTTCATTACAGGAGTTTTTGATACAGCCATGCTTTCCTGGCCACCACCCGGACATAAATTTAGTCTGTAAGAGCAGAGAATGTTAAAAGTGAAGAATTTTATCTGACCTTCATTTTAAAATACCTAAAAAGTGGTTAGAGATGTAACAGTACTGTGACAAAACAGGACTCCACAATTATGAAGGTTGCATTTACGTTTTCATTTTAGTTGCTCCATGACCAGATAGGGGTGGTGAGTTTTGAAGACTATAAACAGCTGTTTCTACACACCTACAGCAGGGCGAGGACGTGTTTCCAGGGGGTGCCCTCACTCCCTCCAATGTTTGGCTACCCACATCGTAACTGGTGAGTCCCTAAGCCTCCCTGTTAAAGTTCTCTCTTGGCAGTTCATTAACATGTAGTTTCTGCAACCCGGTCAAAATTTAGATCAACAACCCGACTTAGTTTCTCAGTGCAGCTGAACCACTACCTCATTGTAACCCTACCCCCTGGTTGTAACAGTTCCGTTCTTATATTGATACAGTTTTACAATTGTGCTTGTGTGGAAATACTTACTCCCACTCAGGAGAATAGGTCTTTGCATATAATAACATTACAGGTTAAAAAGATGTGGTGGAATATTTGCAGATTCATATGAGACGAGTGCAATAAAGTTAAGATATGTAATACTGACGGTATGTATTGTAGGAAGGAGTCGGGTGCGAGGAATGGTATGCCTGCCGTTGGACAGAAGCTGAACACACTTGTGCAACAGTTACAGGTAGCCTACCAACTAACTACATCTGGCAAGTTCCCCGAGGCCATCATCAAGTTCAGAAGCATTCTCCTCAGTGTTCCACTCCTCGTGGTTGACAACAAACAGGAGATAGCAGAGGTAGGCGTTTCTTGTAACCTTAGCTGTCAATGTGTGGTGCAAGTTGTTTTTGATAGGTTCCAAGTTTACAGTATTGTATTGTTTCTGGTGAGGATACAGAACATTTGGTGACGGAAAATAATAGTAGCTTAAAAAAAAAGGAAAATCTGTGAAACACTGAGTGGAGGATTGGCATTACCTTCGGTGTTGTCTACAGGAAATATCACTATCATTTGTTGTCTTATCGCATCTTCCAGATGGCGTCTGTAATTTTGGATAAATTATTCTGTTAGATCTGAGTTTATAGCTTAGAGTGTGAAATTATGTTCTGACATTATGTGTGTATGTGTGCAGGCTCAACAGCTGATAGAGATATGTCGTGAGTACATAGTGGGACTGGCAATGGAACAGAGGCGCAAGGAGCTCCCCAAGGCCACTTTGGACGACCAGAAACGCTTATGTGAGGTAAATGAGTCTAGCCAATTTATCAAAGATTTGTTTCTATAAAATTCATTGTTCTATACTTTATATAGAAACTCCTGCAGTCCTTCACTTAAATTGATTATCACATACTGTAATTCGATTCCGTATGCTTGAGAAATTATTTTACTGCAGCTTAGCTTTCGCCTATTTAATGTAGGTGAATTTGTTAAAGTGATTATTAGTAAACAACATGTATACTAATTAAATGTGAATGGCAAAATTAACATTGAGCAAATGTAATCTTAATGGCAAAGGGGAAAATTTGACAAGGAAAATGTTTCCATGTATACAGTATATCTGTCACTGAAACTGTTATTTGGGGAAATGATGGGAACACCTGTTTATATATGTTCCTGTGTTAACATCCATTTAAATATGTTTATGTTGAGTCATCAGTTTATAATCCCCCCTAAAACCTAAAAACCTTACAATGTTAAATATTCATCCTATATACATGTGATATCTCGTTTATTCGGTTCTAACAATATAGGATGTCTTGTTTACAGATGGCGGCCTACTTCACTCACTGTAACCTACAGCCAGTCCACATGATCCTTACACTCCGTACGGCACAAAATCTATTCTTCAAATTAAAGAATTTTAAAACAGCTGCATCGTTTGCAAGACGACTACTGGAATGTGGTCCTAAACCAGAAATAGCTACACAGGTAAGTGAAGTTAGGGGGCCGTAGTACAAACACTGATAATGTTTGGGGGAAGGGTACCTACACAGATAGATAATGTTTGGGGGAAGGGTACCTACACAGATAGATAATGTGCAGGTGTTCAAGTACCAACACAGATATATAAATATATAATTACACAAAAATAACTCCAGAAAAATCAATATCCTGACGTTTAATTTTGTGACATGTTTAGATTACGGTTTAAAAAATGGTAGATAATTAAGTAACTATTCATCCCAAATGTTGTATACTTACAGACAAGAAAGATGTTGGCTGCATGTGAAAAGACTCCAACAGATACGCACGAGCTGAAGTATGATCAACACAATCCGTTTGATATTTGTTCCGCAACATTCACACCCATATACAGGTAAGATAGCACCCATAGACAGGTGATATCACACCCATAGACAGGTAAGATCACACCCATAGACAGGTAATGATAAACTTGTGTTATTTGTGTGCATCAAAACATGTTCTTAAGCCTAGTGTTCTATTTATACTTTTGTATGTTCCTAAGTTAATGATGGTTTAATTGTTCCAGAACCACTACACAGTACACCTGTTATATATCTTAATATTTCAGAATTACTGCAGTGATTTTCTTGGTTCATTTCACTTTTGTCATCAGTTTATCGGCCATGTCACCATTCCTACAGATGTTTTACAAAGGGTTTTCTAGTGGACAGAACAACCATCTTGACTGTTTTTCCAGCAGTAAAGGCCTGTTAATGTTAATGCAGGCCCTGAAAGTCCTCCACAAAGTCTCACATTCATTCACTAGGTGAAACTGTCCGACATGTAACATTTAAAGCCACGCAGCTCTCTCAAGTCTTTAACTCTTTCTAAAAGAAGATACATGTCTATGTGGCATACATCCTTAAGTCTCTGCCCTCCACATTTATATCGTTAGTATATTTTGACGTGAAATGTGTTAGAATGTTTAAATATTGACTGTTTCAGAGGTAAACCTGTGGTGAAGTGTCCTCTTAGTGGAGCCTGTTATCACCCAGACCACAAGGGCGAGGTGTGTCGAGTAACAAAGGTAAGTCATTGTGTATAAGGCCTCTCAGTAGTCATACTTTAATTTTGTCAATAGGTAAAGGTTACTAGTCTGTAAAATTCATCTGTGTTCAATAGTCTTATTAAAATGGTTAAAGCATCACTGGCAAAAAGGTGTAGAAAACCTCATTGAACTCACTTAAATGAGTCTGTCTAGGCAAAATTCATAACATTGGATTAACTTTATTGCACCAAGAAAAAAACATTTTGTCATTGTGGGTAAAAATTCACAACTCTGGGTTAAACTCATTATGTCTGCCTGAATAAAATTTGTACCAATGAGTTGAATATATCGGGTCAAAATGGGTAACATTTTGTAACATTTAGTTACCCATTAAAATGTTTTCCTCTTTTAGGTGACAGAAATTGGAAAGGACTGTATAGGATTAAGAATTAGCCCAATTCAGTTCCGGTAAGGGATTTTGTGAGCCAAAAAGACAGAAAAATGGACAAAGAGTTTTATAATACCAGTGTACAGAAGCAAAGGCTGCGAAATAGCGACAGAACAACGGACAAGAATTTTATTATACCGTTGTAAAAAGCAGCCAATGGCTATGAATTATCACAAAATACAACTTGGATACAAGGTTTATTTTCGCAGTAGTGTTGGAAGTCGACTTTGCTTGTTTTCTGGCGAGAGGATGTGGGTGATCAACATAAACAACTATAGACCTGGAATAGATCACCGTTGTAACAAGGAACGTGTACAGGAGGGTGAGAACGGATGTACGACCGATGGTGATAGGAGTGACATTAAGTTATTGTGTAGATGACTGTGATACAGGAAGTTAGGTGGTGACACATGGATAATCTACGAGGCTGGGGTAAACACATTCAAGTGTTGTTGAACATTTTATTAATAGAATGGGACGTTTTCTCTGGTGTTATAACGATTGAAACGAAAACTGCCGAGAACTTTACATGTAATAATGTATGTGTTTATCTCTCTTGCCTGAATAGTTTCATTAAGTGCTTGAAGAATCAAATACAAAATGTTTTGAATTTTAAAGAAATTTTAAACAGAAAGCTCCAGCATTTGTTTAGAATGTTGCCACCGGTTACAAAGAGACACAGCCATTGTATACCATTGTATACCATTGTGTACTATTGTATACCATTGTATACCCAATCATGTGACACAGAACAGTGGAATTGCATGAATGTTAATAAATTTTGAACATCTTATTTTTGAAGTTTTATTTTCTTTGACATGTAGATTTAAACAAGACCCTGAGCTCCTCTTGGACACAAAACATGAAGACCTTCAGTTAACACTATGTTGAGGCTACACTTGGATCTTGTAAAAAGCTCCTAATTTTATGTAATTACTTTTCAAGTCGGGTAATTTTCACGTCGTCAGAATGGAATTCTTTTAGTATGTGTCGTGTTTATCACTGACAGTTTTTCATGAAAGGCAACTACTTCATAATGACAACCCATCAATTTATCAACTACTTCACAATGACAACCCATCAATTTATCAACTACTTCATAATGACAACCCATCGATTTATCAACTACTTCATAATGACAACCCATCAATTTATCAACTACTTCGTAATGACAACCCATCAATTTATCAACATTGGAAAGATTGGCAGAATTCATTTTCCAACTACAAAAGAGATTTGCAGGTTTCTCCTGGTGTTAACTACAAATGCTTATCTCGTGACTAAAAAATGAACTCAACATGAAGATATTAAAAAATGATTAGATTTTATTGATTTGGTGACATTTTTATATAATAAAGCATCAATGGGGACTGAATATTGCTATGACATTGCTAAAAGTACAAAAATATGATCACAGATAGTTACAGAGGTTGGATTTCTATATGTGATACCACACTAAGTCTGTAGTTTCTATTCCGTGATATCACACTAAGTCTGTAGTCTATCACGAGAACTTTCTCCAGTTCTATGTAACCTAAATACAGCGTGGTCATCACTTATAATCTTCCTACTTGCATACATACTCATTGTGTTTGTAACAGAATAATTTAGGTTGACAAAGAAGCAGCATTCCAGACAGCAGAGGACCAACTGTTTTCTGTGACATCTGGTCTGTTGTGTCACAGTGTTGAAAAAACTATGTTCTTAAGTCGTTATTACATTGCTCTCAGCCTCTTATAGTGTAATATTGGTTTTCCTATATAAAACAGTAGGTAGAGTATTGTATGAATGTTACCTTTTTACATCATATACAATAGTGTATGATAGACATATTGTATTAATTGTATTATGCATTAAGCATATTGCACCAAGCAAAAAAATATTTCTCTTGTCACTATATGACAACCTAAACCTTATAGTAGACCCCATTACAATGAACCACACCTCACCTTACCACTATCTGGCCTGTACTGTGTTCATAGATCCTGCAGCCTATTTTCAGAATCAAACCTTAGAATTTTTATACATGAATTTCTTTCAAGCTTTGTCTATGACTAAACTAGCACACATGGGAAATGCTAAAAATTATTGAAAACTTGAAATTGCTTGGATTCAGATTTTCTAATTGACTTTGTAAGATTTAACCATCTTCTTAAAAGCAATCAAATGCAAGATGCGTATATTTTCTATGATCATTGCATGTAATATATTAAATGTTTTCACGTGTTCAAACTACCAGGTTATGTCTAGGTGTTATTTAAGAACAGCTGAATTAAGAATGATATTATGATAGATAGATTAAAAACTGGCAGATTAGTCTCCTCAAATTGAAATATCCTAAAATGAAGCAATATACAGTAATTAGTAAATAATGCAACAATTATCAGTCCATTTCAAACACATTCATACAATTTCATCCTGATCAATTATTATGTTCACCTTACTTTATAAAATATTAACACAATGATTTTATAGGGAATAAGAACACGGATGTAACAACAGGATAGATACTCTATGAGAAACATTACCACACTTTAAATCTTACCCTGTCCGCCCTCCATAATGAGGGAGAATTCATGATTATGTAGTGTTACTTATGTGAAAAGTGGACGAAAATAAAAATGGTCAAATATGCATTCTGGAGATTATGTTGTAGGTAGGTAGCTTGGAGATCTCCGTAACGCCCAGGGAGATCCCAGGGAGATCCAAGGGTAGGATATGGAAACTGTCATATAACCTATTATATACTTGACCAGTAAAAAAGATATGGTACAAGATGGACAGATCATATCTGGGACAAGTATATGATAAATATGTACATTTATACTTATTTACACACCTTGCACTTCTATTTACATACCAGATATATTTTTGTACGTATTTACACACCCAGTACATATTTACCTAGATTGACTGGAGTTTTATTCCTCTGTTGTAGCACTAACACTGCTGTAATACTCTGTGTAATAGATACAAAATTAATACGGAGTCTGTTTTAAAGTCACATTCACAACACAACTTGAATGATTCATATACAAAAATATGATCTTGGATGAAAATATTTTCAATAGTGGTAAAAAAAATATTCATTTTTATTTTTTGATGTGAACAGACATTTAAAATATATATTTATATATAAACAAAGATTTCATAATTTGTGTACATTCTCATAATCATTCTCTCATTTTCAACATTTTAACAACTTGCACTTCAAGTACATAGTAAATGAATTCTACACATGGCAACGAATGCATCGACACACTACAGGAATGTAAAATGTACATATGATGTTATCCTATTATCAGATACATGGAATTTCTTAGAATCAAGTGGCCTTGATAAAAAAAAAACAGATGTATGTGTTCTCTAGTTTCAGAAGGCACAACCTCTCAGCACTCATTTCTGGGACAGTAGTGTCACTATGGCGACACAGAGAACATAAACAAACGACGAGGAAATGGAGGACGCCGAGGCACGGATTTCAGTCAGTGTCGGATCTACGTACACCATACCACCTGTAACAAGAGAAAGCACCACTCGAATAATCAAAGTTAGGCATTAATTAATAACAGACCCTTAAGGATATATGCTACCTTACTGAAACCTGTATCTACGTTACAAAAGAGTTCCAACTGGTAAGGAATTCTTGTAAAAAAACCAGGTTATTATATATTATACAGTTAAACCAGGTGTTTCCAACTTCAAAGCTAATTCAGTTTTATTATGGAGGTAACTCCTACATTGCATTTAGGATTTGCTAAGTAAGCAGCATATATACTTATAAAGTAGAATTTTTGCGGGGGGTGAAAATACTGATGTTTTTCATGTAGAATTGATCAACATGAAAATATTCACACACAAATAATTATTTATAGATTAAAGATATATATAGAATTCAAAACCATTACAAACGTGAGAATTTCCTCCACTTTAACAGTGTAATTCATGCACATTACAATTACCCAAGTTATCACCATTCCATATTTATATGTCATAGATCTATTACAAAAAACATATATGCCTAAATTTGTGTGGATAAGTACTGATCTAGGTATGAAGAATCATTATATGTAATGTCATTTTGTTTACTATAATAAGTTAGCTAATGTAAAATTTACTACCCAGAAGACTTGCTAAAAATCTGTTCACGCTCCATACCTAGAGTGAAGAAGACCGTTGGTGACTTTTTGCCAGCACCCCCTCCACTGTATCCGGCTATTCTTACAGCATACACAATGTTTTTCTTCAGTCCCTGGAGGATGTACTCGGTTGGCTTTCTGTCAACTCTCACCTCCGTAGCAGTACGGTAATTCTCATTAGCTTGCCAGAAGTAAATCTAAAAAGGGGACAACAGAGGTAGATTAATGACAACTTATCCTCCTCAGAAACCTGTCAGATTGAGTACATAAACTAAGCCAGTATCAATTGAGGAACTGATGTCCAGTATCTTCTGAGGGTGTCCTCTGTCACTGAGGTACTGATGTCTAGTTACTTTCCATGTATCCCCTGAGGGTGTCCTCTGTCTCTGAGGTACTGATGTCTAGTTACTTACCATGTATCCCCTGAGGGGGTCCTCTGTCACTGAGGTACTGATGTCTGCTTACTTACCATATATCCCCTGAGGGTGTCCCCTGTCACTGAGGTACTGATGTCCAGTTACTTACCATGTATCCCCTGAGGGTGGCCTCTGTCACTGAGGTACTGATGTCTAGTTACTTACCCTGTATCCCCTGAGGGTGTCCTCTGTCACTGAGGTCCTGATGTCTAGTTACTTACCATGTATCCCCTGAGGTTGTCCCCTGTCACTGAGGTACTGATGTCCAGTTACTTACCATGTATCCCCTGAGGGTGGCCTCTGTCACTGAGGTACTGATGTCTAGTTGCTTACCATGTATCCCCTGAGGGTGTCCTCTGCCACTGAGGTTCTGATGTCTAGTTACTTACCATGTATCCCCTGAGGTTGTCCTCTGTCACTGAGGTACTGATGTCTTGTTACTTACCATGTATCCCCTGAGGGTGTCATCTGTCACTGAGGTACTGATGTCTAGTTACTTTCCATGTATCCCCTGAGGGTGTCCTCTGTCACTGAGGTACTGATGCCTAGCTACTTACCATGTATCCCCTGAGGGTGTCCCCTGTCACTGAGGTACTGATGTCCAGTTACTTACCATGTATCCCCTGAGGGTGGCCTCTGTCACTGAGGTACTGATGTCTAGTTGCTTACCATGTATCCCCTGAGGGTGTCCTCTGTCTCTGAGGTACTGATGTCTAGTTACTTACCATGTATCTCCTGAGGGTGTCCTCTGCCACTGAGGTACTGATGTCTGCTTACTTACCATATATCCCCTGAGGGTGTCCCCTGTCACTGAGGTTCTGATGTCAAGTTACTTACCATGTATCCCCTGAGGGTGGCCTCTGTCACTGAGGTACTGATGTCTGCTTACTTACCATGTATCCCCTGAGGGTGGCCTCTGTCACTGAGGTACTGATGTCTGCTTACTTACCATATATCCCCTGAGGGTGTCCCCTGTCACTGAGGTTCTGATGTCTAGTTACTTACCATGTATCCCCTGAGGTTGACCCCTGTCACTGAGGTACTGATGTCCAGTTACTTACCATGTATCCCCTGAGGGTGTCATCTGTCACTGAGGTACTGATGTCTAGTTACTTTCCATGTATCCCCTGAGGGTGTCCTCTGTCTCTGAGGTACTGATGTCTAGTTACTTACCATGTATCACCTGAGGGTGTCCTCTGTCACTGAGGTACTGATGTTTATTTACTTTCCATGTATCCCCTGAGGGTGTCCTCTGTCACTGAGGTACTGATGTCTGGTTACTTACCATGTATCCCCTGAGGGTGTCCGCTGTCACTGAGGTACTGATGTCTAGTTACTTACCATGTATCCCCTGAGGTTGTCCCCTGTCACTGAGGTACTGATGTCCAGTTACTTACCATGTATCCCCTGAGGGAGTCCTCTGCCACTGAGGTACTGATGTCTAGTTACTTACCATGTATCTCCTGAGGGTGTCCTCTGCCACTGAGGTACTGATGTCTAGTTACTTACCATGTATCCCCTGAGGGTGTCCTCTGCCACTGAGGTACTGATACCCCTCCAGGTGAGCTTGACAGACTCGGCCCCGTTAGAATGAACATGGGCCTCCTGTGGGTACAGGAAAGGAGCTGTGGACAGAAGTTCATACTTAAATTACTGGTACAGTTAACAAAATACATCGTAAAACTGTTGGTTGGACTCGAAAAGTTATGTTTGTTTTTGGGAGAAATTGGCAAATAATGTTTAGGTCTATAGTTGTATTCCAAAGTTTTCTTAATGTGACCTTTAAAAAATAGCTAGTGTAACAACAAAACTGGCCATTACGCATCATTTTCAGAAATTATAAGGCTCAATAAACCAGTCAGCACAATCAGATAAATCTGTCATAAAAATTGTTGGGATTTTGTGAAACATTAACTTGACAAGGTAGTCATTGTATTGATATTCAAACTGTGTGTAAGAATTGCCTGAAACTGGTAAATTTGTGGAACAATCTATAAGAACATGTACCTGGATTTTTAGTTTCCTGTGTATATCTCTCGCTGCGGGGGCCCAGCCCAGCTGTATTGTATACTTGTACATTAAACCAGTAGTAGCTATCAGCTTCCAGACCAATCACAAGGCCAGTATCTCGTTGTCCCTGGTAACGGATGAACTTTGTCAGGGGCGGATCATCGTTGTTATTAGCCCAGTAATTGATCTGTAATGATGAAATAAAAAGACATCATCCTACACTAGATATAAACTGTAAATTTGATCAGTCTGCTGTTATTATGCCACTTCCATAAAATGGGGGTTGGGGCATTTAGTGTTGCTCATGTCCGTCCTGTCGCGTTGTGTCCCGATTCAATGTAATCACTTAGCAACTTCATTTTTTCCCGGATTGCTGTCAGACTTTTTACAAAGGTTAAGTTTGAGTATACATCGGACATTGTTGTGTTTCAGGGTTCCAAGGTCAAGGCCAAGGTCAGGGTTGCTATATATGGAAAATCATCAACCAATCAGTGTCATCACTGTATATAAGTAGTGGTGGAGCCGTTTCCACCTTATCTACTTTTATAGGTGCATTGCAAGCTTAAGCCAGATCCGAAGAGGAATAGCTGTGTCTCTACTGTAGAATCCCTTGGTCAAGTGGACTCATTTTGTAAAGCTGAAGGGGACATATCTCTGGGGAAGGCCTAACAGATGAGATAGGGACAGAATGTTTTTAAAACTACTCCTTCTGAATGCCTTGATATATTTATGAGTTCTACTGCAGCAGAAGGGTGGGGTCCAGTAGGGGCTTTAGGGATACATTACAAATATATAACACATATAGATTGGCTTGTGTGTGACAAAGACAAAAGGGTGCCTATAACTGACCTGATAACCTCTGACAAGGCCTTTCATGGCTGCCCTCGTATCAGAAACCGATATCCAGTACACTTCCATAGCTGTCGAGTTGAACCCGTCAGCATTGACCTTCTCAGGAGCAGCAGCGGGTACTACAATGTCAAGGTCGTTCACGTTGAATTTACTTTTATATGAGATTTTAAGATTAGTCCTAAGATTATGTTGTCCTTATTTTGAATATTTCATCAAAAGAGTTACGTAATCAAAAGTATGGTAAGGTATCAAAGGTAAAACCAGACCATAGTATGGTAAGTATGGTAAGGTATCAAAAGTAAAACCAGACCATAGTATTGTACGTATGGTAAGGTATCAAAGGTAAAACCAGACCATAGTATGGTACGTATGGTAAGGTATCAGAGGTAAAACCAGACCATAGTATGGTAAGGTACGAAAGGTAAAACCAGACCATGGTATGGTAATGTATCAAAGGTAAAACCAGACCATAGTATGGTAAGTATGGTAAGGTATGAAAGGTAAAACCAGACCATAGTATTGTACGTATGGTAAGGTATCAAAGGCAAAACCAGACCATGGAATGGTAAGGTATCAAAGGTAAAACCAGACCATGGTATGGTAAGGTATAAAAAGTAAAACCAGACCAAAGTATGGTAAGGTACCAAAGGTAAAACCAGGCCATGGTATGGTAAGGTACCAAAGATAAAACCAGACCATAGTAGGGTAAGGTACGAAAGGTAAAACCAGTCCTTGGTATGGTAAGGTATCAAGGGAAAAACCAGACCAAAGTATGGCAAGGTACCAAAGGTAAACCCAGTCCATAGTATGGTAAGGGACGAAAGGTAAAACCACACCATGGAATGGTAAGGTATGAAAGGTAAAACCAGGCCATGGTATGGTAAGGTACCAAAGGGAAAACCAGACCATAGGATGGTAAGGTACGAAAGGAAAAACCAGACCATAGGATGGTAAGGTACGAAAGGTAAAACCAGTCCTTGGTATGGTAAGGTATCAAAAGGAAAACCAGACCATGGTATTGTAAGGTACCAAAGGGAAAACCAGGCCATAGTATGGGAAGGTACGAAAGGTAAAACCAGGCCATGGTATGGTAAGGTACCAAAGGAAAAACCAGACCAAAGTATGGTAAGTTACCAAAGGTAAAACCAGGCCATGGTATGGTAAGGTATCAAAGGTAAAACCAGACCATAGTATGGTAAGGTACGAAAGGTAAAACCAGACCATGGAATGGTAAGGTATCAAAGGTAAAACCAGACCATAGTATGGTAAGTATGGTAAGGTATCAAAGGTAAAACCAGACCATGGTATGGTAAGGTAGCAAAGGTAAAACCAGACCATAGGATGGTAAGGTACGAAAGGTAAAACCAGACCATGGAATGGTAAGGGATCAAAGGTAAAACCAGACCATAGTATGGTAAGGGACGAAAGGTAAAACCAGACCATGGAATGGTAAGGGATCAAAGGTAAAACCAGACCATAGTATGGTAAGTATGGTAAGGTATCAAAGGTAAAACCAGACCATAGTATGGTAAGGTATCAAAGGTAAAACCAGACCTTGGTATGGTAAGGTATCAAAGGTAAAACCAGACCTTAGTATGGTAAGGTATCAAAGGTAAAACCAGACCATGGTATGGTAAGGAATCAAAGGTAAAACCAGACCTTGGTATGGTAAGGTATCAAAGGTAAAACCAGCCCATGGTATGGTAAGGTATCAAAGGTAAAAACCAGCCCATGGTATGGTAAGGTATCAAAGGTAAAAACCTGACCATGGTATGGTAAGGTATCAAAGGTAAAACCAGCCCATGGTATGGTAAGGTATCAAAGGTAAAAACCAGACCATGGTATGGTAAGTTATCAAAGGTAAAACCAGACCATAGTATGGTACGTATGATAAGGTATCAAAGGTAAAACCAGACCATAGTATGGTAAGTTATCAAAGGTAAAACCAGACCATAGTATGGTACGTATGATAAGGTATCAAAGGTAAAACCAGACCATAGTATGGTAAGGTATCGAAGGTAAAACCAGACCTTGGTATGGTAAGGAATCAAAGGTAAAACCAGACCTTGGTATGGTAAGGTATCAAAGGTAAAACCAGACCTTAGTATGGTAAGGTATCAAAGGTATAACCAGACCATGGTATGGTAAGGTACCAAAGGTAAAACCAAACCAAAGTATGGTAAGGTATCAAAGGTAAAACCAGACCTCAGTATGGTAAGGTATCAAAGGTAAAACCAGACCAAAGTATGGTAAGGTATCAAAGGTAAAACCAGACCTTGGTATGGTAAGGTATCAAAGGTAAAACCAGACCTTGGTATGGTAAGGTATCAAAGGCAAAACCAGACCTTAGTATGGTAAGGTATCAAAGGTAAAACCAGCCCATGGTATGGTAAGGTATCAAAGGTAAAAACCAGCCCATGGTATGGTAAGGTATCAAAGGTAAAAACCAGACCATGGTATGGTAAGTTATCAAAGGTAAAACCAGACCATAGTATGGTACGTATGATAAGGTATCAAAGGTAAAACCAGACCATAGTATGGTACGTATGATAAGGTATCAAAGGTAAAACCAGACCATAGTATGGTAAGGTATCGAAGGTAAAACCAGACCTTGGTATGGTAAGGAATCAAAGGTAAAACCAGACCTTGGTATGGTAAGGTATCAAAGGCAAAACCAGACCTTAGTATGGTAAGGTATCAAAGGTATAACCAGACCATGGTATGGTAAGGTACCAAAGGTAAAACCAGACCAAAGTATGGTAAGGTACCAAAGGTAAAACCAGACCATGGTATGGTAAGGAATCAAAGGTAAAACCAGACCATAGTATGGTAAGGTACCAAAGGTAAAACCAGACCATAGTATGGTTAGGTACCAAAGGTAAAACCAGACCATAGTCTGGTAAGGTACCAAAGGTAAAACCAGACCATGGTATGGTAAGGTACCAAAGGAAAAACCAGACCATAGTATGGCAAGGTACCAAAAGTAAAAACAGACCATAGTATGGTAAGTATGTTAAGGTATCAAAGGTAAAACCAGACCTTGGTATGGTAAGGTATCAAAGGTAAAAACCAGACCATGGGATGGTAAGGTATCAAAGGTAAACCCAGACCATAGTATGGTAAGTATGGTAAGGTATCAAAGGTAAACCCAGACCATAGTCTGGTAAGGTACCAAAGGTAAAACCAGACCATAGTATGGTAAGGTACTAAAGGTAAAACTACCTCTACCAGTATATATATAACTACTACCACTACCAGGATATATATAACTACTACCACTAATCAGGATATATATAACTACTACCTCTACCAGGATATACATAACTTCTACCACTACCAGGATATATATAACTACTACCACTACCAGGATATATATAACTACTACCACTAATCAGGTAGCTTAGTTGGTTTTGGGGACCGCGTCATGATCAGAGGACAAGGGTTCAAATGTTGATCTGGCCTCAGTTCATTTTTACTTTCAGAACACTGTTCTTGATTGTTCTTTTCAGAAATGATTTTTATTAAAACTAGTGTCATACAGGAACAAAGTTAATTTGAAGTTAGTGTTAGGCAGCAGCATAAGAATGCTTTAGATAATGCCATCATATACATAGGTAATCATTTATTCAATCATACAGTTTTGGGAGGGGAAGGGGCCAACAGGTATAGAGTATCTATAAATATCCCAGTGATACAAGAAATCATAACACTCTGGGGAGATCCCAGAAGAATTATCATTTATGTTATTTATAAAATTAAGCTGCTATAAGATTACAAAAAATGTCTGTTGGCGCAGTGGATAAACCACTCGCCTTTCACCAAGGCGACCGGGGTTCGACCATGTGGGTTTTCTCCGGGTACTCCGGTTTCCTCCCACATAATGACCCCCAGAGCGCTAATATCAGGGCCAACAAGAGTGATTAATATAAGTTGAAATAATTTGTTTCATAATTGTTGTAAATTAAATAAAGTTTATATTATAAAAAAAAGAAGAAGATGTATTATCAAAAAAAAAAAAAGATAATTCCCTTAATTGTAAATGATAACTCCCTTGATAATGCCCTTTATTGTAAATGTTAAGTCCCTTAATTGTAAATGATAACTCCCTTAATTGTAAATGATAACTCCCTTGATAACGCCCTTTATTGTAAATGTTAAGTCCCTTAATTGTAAATGATAACTCCCTTAATTGTAAATGATAACTCCCTTGATAATGCCCTTTATTGTAAATGTTAAGTCCCTTAATTGTAAATGATAACTCCCTTAATTGTAAATGATAACTCCCTTAATAATGCCCTTTATTGTAAATGTTAAGTCCCTTAATTGTAAATGATAACTCCCTTAATTGTAAATGATAACTCCCTTGATAATGCCCTTTATTGTAAATGTTAAGTCCCTTAATTGTAAATGATAACTCCCTTAATTGTAAATGATAACTCCCTTAATTGTAAATGATAACTCCCTTAATTGTAAATGCTAAACTTGATGTTCAGGATCAACTTACATCCTTCTGCAGAGTAGATGATGACCTCAGTAGAGTTAGGTCCCTTGCCATAATCATTAAATGCCTGAACTTTGACCTCATACTTCATGTAATAGTTTGTATCACCGACCTGATGGACATACTTTGTAGTATTTACGTTGGAAACCTCTGTCTGAGAGAAAAAATAGAAAAACATTACAATTCAACACTTCAAAAAATCCACTCTGCATGGTAAATGACGATGGTGTATGCTAGTTTTAACACATAAACATACCTGTCTATATAAACCACACAAATGATGAAAAAGTGGACTTATGTGATGCATGGTCTTTATATAAATGTTGCTAATGCAAAAAATATCACTAGGCATATTAACAACAAAAATGAGTAAATAGGTAATTATAAACAGGTAGTAGTTATAGACAGGTAGTAGTTATAGACAGGTGGTGGTTAGAGACAGGTGGTAGTTATAGACAGGTGGTAGTTATAGACAGGTGGTAGTTAAAGACAGGTGGTAGTTAGAGACAGATGAAAGTTATAGACAGGTGGTAGTTATAGACAGGTAGTAGTTATAGACAGGTAGTAGTTATAGACATGTGATAGTTATCGACAGGTGGTAGTTATAGACAGGTGATAGTTATAGACAGGTAGTAGTTATAGACATGTGATAGTTATAAACAGGTGGTAGTTATAGACAGGTAGTAGTTATAGACAGGTAGTACTTATAGACAGGTGATAGTTATAGACAGGTAGTAGTTATAGACAGGTAGTAGTTATAGACAGGTGGTAGTTATACACATACATAGACGTGTAGACAGGTATAAAATATATTAAAAACATCAAAAGGCCACCTACCATACTCCATTGGTGATTTGGATCAGTGGAATAGGTTCGCCAATACACAATGTATCTCACGTTAGGTCCTCCTCTGTAAACACGCGAGAGCACCTAAGGGAGATAACACATATTTTCAAAGATTAGATTAAGTCCTTTAGTAGGAAAGCCTGTCCATCAATATTTTACTTTTACTACAGACATTCCTTTTTGTTAAATTATCTGTAGGTAAATTGCTTTTTCAACAAAAAAACCTCTCTACAAGCTTTTGGTCCCCCCAAACTGTGCCTCATACTATCCGTCTCACCTTCCAGACCATAGTAAGGTCTCCCACACTTCCACCTCCTCCACTGACACCTGTAGGGGCCCGTGACGGGGGAGCTGGCTTGGTCTGGTAAATTTCTGTAATACAAAAATGCTTAATATTTAGCACAATATTTAAAGCGTGAAAATCATCAAACACGTTTACTGCTTAAGTATATACATTTACAGTAATATCACTTATTATTTTGAAAAGAGAAGAATACTAAATACTGTAAAAACTGAAACAGTAACAAGGATGAATTAGTTTAAGTGAATTGGAAGAGTTTAAATGTGTCTTCAGTCTTTTACTGTTAACTTGAAAATAACTTTTGTGGACTTGAAATAATAAAGGTATGTTGAAGTGTTACACAGTATAAGAGTAACTTACGGGAAGGTTTGCTGTGCATGCCAATACCGTAGGAGTTGGCAGCCTGTACCCTGAAGCGATACCCATTACCAGGATCCAGACCTGATACCATGATTGACCTCATGCCCCGTGCGTTCCCATCAACAACTGCTTCAACATCCGGCACCCCTGTAGGCAGATATTTGTTGGTTTATTTATATTTCTAACTTTTACCTTATCATCCTAAAATGAAATGAACAAGGTTTTCCTGTGGTCAGTTGCGAATGAAAACATATATAAAAAAAAAAAATGGTTTTGTGTAAAAGATGTGCATTGATTAGGTTGCCTTACAAGCGTCAGCCGTAGGGAATTTCCCTTTAGCTCAGCGGTAGAGAATAGGGCTGGAGAGCAAAGGGTTGCGGGTATGAGTCCCAGCGACGGCATTATCTTTATCACTATTCCTCGTCCTATTACAAATTGGTGCTGTTGACGCTCCCCGTTCAAGGGAGGATAACGCTTGGTGGGAAGTCAGAGAAGCTGGATTGGTGTTAGAAAAACATCTATCTACCATCTCAAAAGGTCTTTATGAAAACAACATGTTGTGACCTTTATTACACTGGAATATTTTCCAAGCAGCTTAACAGCTATTGTCATTTAAGGACGAGCCAGGTTTTAGTGGTGGATGAAAGCCAGAAGACACCAAAGAAAACCAGAGACTTGCCCCACGTAGACCGCGAACCTGCAACCCAGTGATTGTAGACAGTCGGGAGCCTTAACCTCTTGGCCAACGCAGCCCCTAATCTGACTGAGGTTTGTTGCCCCTAATCTAACAGAGGCTTGTTGCCCCTAATCTGACTGAGGTTTGTTGCCCCTAATCTGACTGAGATTTGTTGCCGCTAATCTGACTGAGGTTTGTTGTCGCCTAATCTGACTGAGATTTGTTGCCCCTAATCTAACTGAGTTTTGTTGCCCCTAATCTTATAGGTTTGTTGCCCCTCATCTGACTTTGACTTAATGCCCCTAATCTGACTGAGGTTTGTTGCCCCTTATCTGACTGAGGTTTGTTGCCCTTAATCTGACTGAGGTTTGTTGTCGAGGTTTGTTGCCCCTAATCTGACTGAGGTTTGTTGCCCCTAATCTGAATGAGGTTTTGTTGCCCCTAATCTGACTGATGTTTGTTGCCCCTAATCTAACTGAGGTTTGTTGCCCCTAATCTGACTGAGGTTTGTTGCCCCTAATATGACTGAGGTTTTTTGCTTGATAACTGCTTCCACACACCATGGAGTGTTTACATGCATCTTGTTTTCATACAATCATAATTGTTATGAATATGCATTTCAATCTTTAAATAGTTCACCTATGTATTGTATGTAAAGTAGAGTTTGTAGATGGTGTAATACGCTTTTAATTAACCCTCAAACATGGTATCTGACCGACGCGTGATCGAGATATTGTATTGTACTGGTACAGCATGTATTGTATGAATATTTAGATATATTGTATATGGTTTAATATTGTACTTATAGTTGGCAAAGATACTGACCAGCGTGGACGGTGATCCATATATGGTATTGTTTTGTTACAATATGTATTGTATGAATATTTAAATATATTGTACTTATATATAGTTATATATTATATCTATAGTTAGTAGGTAGATACTGACCGGCACGGACGGTGAACCAGACATTTGGTTGTATAACAGCTTCAGCCTGTATGATATAGTAGTCAATGGGACGGCCATTATCATCCCCAGGAAACCAGTACAGGAGTATGGTGGTTGTCGTGACAGTGTGGGGATCGGCAAACACCCCTCCACATTCTCCGGGGGGTCCTATCAACAGATCAATGTGACATCATACAAACTTATGTCGTCATACACCACCTTATTGATGAAAGATGTTCATGAATTATTGTCTTAAATGTTGTTTGATCAAATTCTTTTTATAGAAACAAATGTTTTATAGCGAAAATAAAAGTAATCAGTTTTCAACATAAAAAGACCAGATTTGTATGTTGGAGTGTAGTAGAAATAAGTCATACCCAGCACTGTGAGTACCCCAGCAGAGACGGCTTCATTGAGGGGGGTCCTAGCTATACACTCATATTGTCCCTCATGTTTAAACTGCACATTTTTGATGTACAACCCTCTGGTGTTGGAATGGGTACCCTGTTAACAAAAATGTTTCTCTTTCAACACAAAACATGTCAACACAATGGAAGTTGAGTCAACACAAATAGTACTCTGTCAACACAATGGTTGAACTGTCAACATAAAAAGTTACCATGTCAACATAAACGCTACTGAAAGCAGTTCAATGCTCTAATGTCAGTAACTGCCTGAGTGACTCCATATACAAGTCATACATGTATGACTGCATCATATATAACACCAGTGTATGACATACATCATAAATAACACCAATGTATGACATACATCATATATAACTCCAGTGTATGATATATATCATATATCACACCCGTGTATGAAATATATCATATATCACACCAGTGTATGACAACATCACATATAACACCAGTGTATGACATATATACACATGTATGACTTATATCATATATAACACAAATATACGACATACATCATATATAACACCAATGTATGACATATATCATATATAACACAAATATACAACATACATTAATACAACACCAGTGTATGACATGGATCATATATAACACCAGTGTATGACATATATCATATATAACCCCAGTGTATGACATATATCATATAACACATATGTATGACATACATCATATATAACATCAATGTATGACATACATCATATATAACATCAATGTATGACATACATCATATATAACTCCAGTGTATGATATATATCATATATCACACCAGAGTATGACATACATCATATATTACACCAGTGTATGACATATATCATATATCACCCCAGTGTATGACAACATCATATATAACACCAGTGTATGATATATATCATATATCACACAAGTGTATGCCATACATCATATATTACACCAGTGTATGACATACATCATATATAATCCCAGTGTATGACATATATCATATATCACCCCAGTGTATGACAACATCATATATAACACCAGTGTATGATATATATCATATATCGCACCAGTCTATGAAATATATCATATATCACACCAGTGTATGACAACATCACATATAACACCAGTGTATGACATACAGCATATATTACACAATTATACAACATACATCATATCTAACACCAGTGTATGACATACATCACATATAACACCAGTGTATGACATATATACACATGTATGACTTATATCATATATAACACAAATATTCAACATACATTAATATAACACCAGTGTATGACATGGATCATATATAACACCAGTGTATGACATAGATCATACATAACACCAATGTATGACATACATCATATATAACTCCAGTGTATGATATATATCATATATCACACAAGTGTATGCCATACATCATATATTACACCAGTGTATGACATACATCATATATAACACCAGTGTATGACATACATCATATATTACACACATGTATGACTTATATCATATATAACACAAATATACAACATACATTAATATAACACCAGTGTATGACATGGATCATATATAACACCAGTGTATGACATAGATCATATATAACACCAATGTATGACATACATCATATATAACACCTATGTATGACATACATCATATATAACATCAATGTATGACATACATCATATATAACACCAGTGTATTACATATATCATATATAACACCAGTGTATGACATATATCTTATATAACACCAGTGTATAACATATATCATATATAGCACCAGTGTATGACATACATCATATATAACACCTATGTATGACATACATCATAAATAACACCAATGTATGACATACATCATATATAACACTAGTGTATGATATACATTATATATAACACCAGTGTATGACATACATCATATATAACACAAATGTATGACGTACATCACATATATAAACTCACCAGTGTGTTGACATACATCATATATAACACCAATGTATGACATACATCATAAATAACACCAGTGTATGACATACATCATATATAACACCCGTGTATGACATATATCATATATAACACCAGTGTATGACATACATAATATATAACACAAATTTACAACATACATCATATATTACACCAGTGTATGACAGACATCATATATAACACCAGTGTATGACATATATCATACATAACACCTATGTATCACATACCTCATATATATCACCAATGTATGACATACATCATATATAACACTAGTGTATGATATACATTATATATAACACCAGTGTATGACATACATCATATATAACACCCGTGTATGACATATATCATATATAACACCAGTGTATGACATACATCATATATAACACCAGTGTATTACATATATCATATATAACACCAGTGTATGACATGCATCATATATAACACAAATGTATGACGTACATCACATATATAAACTCACCAGTGTGTTGACATACATCATATATAACACCAATGTATGACATATATCATATATAACACCAATGTATGACATACATCATATATAACACTAGTGTATGATATACATTATATATAACACCAGTATATGACATACATCATATATAACACCAGTGTATAACATATATCATATATAGCACCAGTGTATGACATACATCATATATAACACAAATGTATGACGTACATCACATATATAAACTCACCATACATCATATATAACACCAGTGTATAACATGTATCATATATAACACCAGTGTATGACATATATCTTATATAACACCAGTGTATAACATATATCATATATAACACCAGTGTATGACATGCATCATATATAACACAAATGTATGACGTACATCACATATATAAACTCACCAGTGTGTTGACATACATCATATATAACACCAATGTATGACATATATCATATATAACACCAATGTATGACATACATCATAAATAACACCAGTGTATGACATACATCATATATTACAACAGTGTATGACATATATCATACATAACACCTATGTATGACATACATCATATATAATCCCAGTGTATGACATATATCATATAACACATATGTATGACATACATCATATATAACACCAGTGTATTACATATATCATATATAACACCAGTGTATGACATGCATCATATATAACACAAATGTATGACGTACATCACATATATAAACTCACCATACATCATATATAACACCAGTGTATAACATGTATCATATATAACACCAGTGTATGACATATATCATATAAAACACCTATGTATGACATACATCATATATAACACCTATGTATGACATACATCATAAATAACACCAATGTATGACATACATCATATATAACACTAGTGTATGATATACATTATATATAACACCAGTATATGACATACATCATATATAACACCAGTGTATGACATATATCATATATAACACCAGTGTATAACATATATCATATATAACACCAGTGTATGACATACATCATATATAACACAAATGTATGACGTACATCACATATATAAACTCACCAGTGTGTAATGTACATCGTCCTCAATATCCAATTCTCTTCCATTGAATTTCCAAGCATACATGAGATCCAGAACAGGGTCGTAGGAAGCTTCACACCGAAGGAAGGCTGTGTCATTCAGGTTGACCTGACTCTTAGGTCCCAGTATCCTGTTAATTGTTGTGCCCACTGTGAGGGAAACATGAATTAACAATTTGAAAAAAAAAAGAACACATGAGTATGATGACTAACACCTAATGTTGACATGAGTTTGATGACTTACACCTGATGTTGACTGAGTATGATGATTAACACCTGATATTGACATAAGTATGATGATTTACACCTGATGTTGACTGAATATGATGACTTATACCTAATGTTGACATGGGTATGATGACTAACACCTGATGTTGACATGGGTAAGATGACTTATACCTAATGTTGACATTGGTAAGATGACTTACACCTAATGTTGACATGGGTAAGATGACTTACACCTAATGTTGACATGGGTATGATGACTAACACCTGATGTTGACATGGGTAAGATGGCTTATACCTAATGTTGACATGGGTAAGATGATTAACAACTGATGTTGACATGAGTATGATGACTTAAACCTGATGTTGACATGAGTATGATGACTTAAACCTGATGTTGACATGGGTAAGATGACTTATACCTAATGTTGACATGAGTATGATGATTAACAACTGATGTTGACATGAGTATGATGATTAACAACTGATGTTGACATGAGTATGATGATTAACAACTGATGTTGACATGAGTTTGATGACTTACACCTAATGTTGACATGAGCATGATGATTAACACCTGATGTTGACATGAGTATGATGATTAACAACTGATGTTGACATGAGTATGATGATTAACAACTGATGTTGACATGAGTTTGATAACTTACACCTGCTGTTGACATGAGTATGATGTCTAACACCTGATGTTGACTGAGTATGATGATTTACACCTGATGTTGACTGAGTATGATGATTTACACCTGATTTTGACTGAGTATGATGACTTACACCTGATGTCGACATGAGTATGATGATTTACACCTGATGTTGACTGAGTATGATGGCTTACACCTGATTTTGACTGAGTATGATGACTTACACATAATGTTGACTGAGTATGATGATTTACACCTGATGTTGTCATGAGTATGATGTTTTACATCTGATGTCTGTTGTAGGGAGAATGTTAACTTACATCTGACGTAGACCCTAGTCGAGCCCTGTGCCTCTCCGTGTATATTAGTTGCCTTACAGGTGTAGATTCCTGCATCATTGGAGTTGATGTTACTGATGTGCAGGTATCCATTGACCAGGATCTGGATGTTTCCTCCTGTCGAGAGTGGCATGTTCCCATTTTTAAGCCACTGAATCTCTGCCTTAGGAGCAGCCTCTGGGTTACAGGCTACCGTGAGGTTGCCACGCAGAGCCGCATCCTGACTCTCCTTGGGTGGGGATTTTGCAAAGGTTGGTGCGAAGGCTATTAATTAATTCAAATAAGGAAGAAATCAATTATCAAATGAAGAAGAGTGAAAAAAAGTGTGTTACTTACATAACTTCAGACAGATCTCCCCCTTGCCTATATATTTCAACTCTATTTCAGCCTTAGAAAGGGAGTTATGTTATTATACTGTAAAAATATTATACAAGGGGGCTGAGTGTATTAAATAAGTTCAAGCTTCAATTCAACACAAGTTGTATCCAGGAAAGTGGTATAAGATTAAATATCCCAATTGTCCTCTACTTATTTCTAGCTTGAAAAATCTTCACTTTTTATTGAATACTCAAGCTTACAGTAGACCTGGAGCTGTGCACCACTGAGGGTTGTTCCATGGATGTTTGTAGCGGCACACTGGTACATGCCATTGTGAAGTTCCGCGTCAGCGTTTGTGATGGTAAGGACGTTCTTGTTGACGGTCATGTCCGGTGTTGAAGTGGTGATTTCAACTCCATTACGGTACCAGGTGTAGTATGGTATTGGTCGACCTCCTGCCTGACAGCGCCAAGTCAGATGGGCTCCTTCATCAATGTGCTGGGCACGCAGGGGAACCAGGAAATAAGGTCGAGCTGTCATCACACAAACAACTCAAAATGATTATAGTAACACAAAATAATAAGCATAAACACAGATATAACAGTAAGGTGAAGTTTCAAATGTGATTTTTTAACTTATGTATAAATTAACAGGGAACTGCATTGAAAAATTGAAAATAATAACTTCTCAGTGGAAGCTAGCTATATGTAGGTTTTAGTAGGCCTCCTTACTGAACTTCTCAGTGGAAGCTAGCTATATGTAGGTTTTAGTAGGCCTCCTTGCTGAACTCCTCAGTGGAAGCTAGCTATATGTAGGTTTTAGTAGGCCTCCTTGCAGAACTCCAGTGTATTTGGGAAACATTTTACTGATACCTCATCAACACAACATAAAATCCTGAATCATTACTTAGACAGGTAATCACATTGAATTGGGGGTATGTTATAGCTCTGACAAAGCATTTTATAGGTATAGCTTGAGCTGGCAGCTAGCATGTTTTCAGCTGTAATATGCTATTCATGCAGTTAATTAAAAAAAGTAAAAAATAATAATTAATTAACTGTGTATTTAATGCACAGTTCACCGAGATAAAATAAAATTCTCTCATATCTATCATAAACTCTATATTTTCTGCAGTCATTTTAATATGTAAGAACAGGAAAAGAATAATAATACAACTAAAAATGATACAGAAATCCATCTTAACTTAATTAAAAGTATAGTTAAGTATATCAATAAAATTTGGTTTTTCACTTGCACAGTTTATAATAATAATAATGATAAACTTTATTTATTGAGGATAAAATACATGTTTAGCCAAAGGCTAATCTTCCACATGGTCCTCTTGTTAGTAAAATACATGTGTTAGATAAAATAACATATTTACGCAATCGATATATAAATAAACATGGTAATCTTGCTAGCAGTTAACTGACCTTCCAAGTTTATAGTGACCGATTTTGAATCACTCGCTGCATTTCCACGACTGACCACACATGTGTAGGTGCCCTCGTCCTCTCGCTGGACGTTTTCGATGGTCAGCACACGATTGAGATCTGTAAACTTGGTACCAGCCGGCATAGCTTTACCAGCACGACTCCAGGAGTATGACCAGGAGTTCTCGTAGTTCTTGGCTCTGGTAACAGGCAATGTTTAATGATATAACTGATCAGAATCCTCAATGATGATGTCAAATAGAGTGTGATACGTACAGTAGATAGAGGGTAGCTGAGTGGTGGCTAGGATAGAAAGACACAGAAGTTTAACAGTTGTAAAAAACAAAAAGAGTATAGAAACAGAAAAGATAAAGATCAGAACTGCGGCTATTGGTACAGAGTATGATTTCTTCACTGTTTACTAAGCAGAGACACAGAAGAGAACAGCACTGATGCTGTAGGCAGATTATCTGAGACAACACTACCAGGGAGGGGGGTTAGTAGACAACCCTACCAGGGAGGGGGGGG